ATATACACGCACACACACACCAAGTCCCTATTGCCAGCACAAAATCACCGCTCATTCCCTACCCTACTTCTCTACACTATATATATATACACAAACACCAACACTCCCCATTGCCGGCACAAAGTCACCATTCATTCTCTCTCATCCTCTGCTCTGTTCTGTCCTAGTATTCTGTAAACCTTTTACAAACTTTTATGCAGAAAATGGGGAGCTTGGAAGTGGAGAAGGAAACAACCGGATGGGCAGCAAGAGACCCTTCTGGGATTCTCTCGCCCTACACCTACACTCTCAGGTTCTTTACTAGTCTCTCCATCCTCTTACTCGATCTTTGTGTACTCTTTTTTTGTTTTAATCATCCTGCTTCTGATATATTCTTTTCCGTCCGGAAAAAAAATGTGCAATCAACAGAAACACAGGCCCTGAAGATGTTTATGTCAGGGTGATATGCTGTGGGATTTGCCATACGGATATTCACCAAATCAAAAATGACCTTGGCATGTCCAATTACCCCATGGTTCCAGGGTATACTTCCCTTTTACTTCGTTTTTTTTTTTTTTTTTCCTTTTTGTAGTCTCAAGTATTGATCAAACAATATGAGCCATCCTAATAATAGAAGGGACTTTTTCGTGTACTTCCTTCAACCACGTTCCAGTAGTCGAGAGAAGGCGGTAATGGCCTCGCGTTTTGAGTTTATTCCACGTATAGTAAAAGTCCCATGGGAGTAGAAACTCTCCTCTCACCACTGGGATCTTGCTTCAATTGTTTATCCCTGATAAAGCCGTAGAGTGTAACTTGGAACAAAGATTAAAGCGCAATTAGTCCAGTAAATCCAACATTAGGAAAGGATTTATGTCTTCTGATAGTTATGGGTAACTTGATGAATTGCTTGCGAGTCGTATATCAAATTAAAAACCCATATGGAGGAGTAGAGTCTTCTTCCTTTTCTTCTTTTGATATCGGGCTTACAACTGTGAATTTGCAACTGTGAAAAAGGCATGAAGTAGTAGGTGAGGTGGTTGAGGTGGGATCGGAGGTCACCAAATTCAGGGTAGGAGATTGCGTTGGAGTTGGCGTATTAGTTGGATGCTGCAAGACTTGTCGCCCATGCAAAGCAGACATAGAGCAGTACTGCAACAAGAAGATTTGGTCTTACAATGATGTCTACACCGACGGCAGACCAACCCAAGGGGGTTTTGCTGGTGCCATGGTTGTTCATCAAAAGTAAGCGAATATTCCTCTCTTCTCTTTATCTATCTATCCACCTGGTTTTTTAATTCATTATATGGTATCCACCACCAGGCCACCATCTTCAATCAACTCAACCTTTTTTTTTCTCGAATGTTACTAAAAGAATGGTCCACGTGCATGTGTAATTAATTGTCTTTGGTAGTAGGTCGATTTGTTTCTTGACGCCGCCAGAAGTTAGGCCGCCGTTGACTCCTGACTTCGGGTGAAGGGCATATTTGTCCTTTCAAACCATCTGAAAATTCATCTCTGTGTTTCCTTGTAGATTATTTTACAGCTAAAATGGAAGTGTTAAAACCTGTTATAGTACATCATTGCAATCACCCCAAAAAAAAAGAAAAAGAAAAAAAAGAAACAAGGGTTTGTGGTGAAATGAAATCTTCTCTTCTGTGTTTTTCCCCTAAAGTAAAATCTCGAGCAAAGAGACAGTAGTAGTATTCAAGAACGCACAAACTTATGATCAACAATAATACATTTCAAAAACATTCCAGGTTTGTTGTGAAAATACCAGATGGTATGTCAGCAGAGCAAGCGGCACCCCTGCTGTGTGCTGGGGTGACAGTATACAGTCCACTCAACCATTTTGGCCTAAAGGAAAGCGGATTAAGAGGAGCAATACTTGGACTGGGAGGAGTGGGGCATATGGGAGTAAAAATAGCAAAAGCCATGGGGCATCATGTTACGGTCATAAGCTCTTCCAATAAAAAGAGAGAGGAGGCCATCGAGCACCTTGGCGCGGATGAGTATTTGGTCAGCTCCGACACCGCTCGGATGCAAGGGTTTGCCGACTCGCTAGACTACATAATTGACACAGTCCCTGTGTGTCACCCTCTCGAGCCTTACCTGTCTTTGTTGAAGGTGGATGGTAAATTGATTCTGATGGGCGTCATCAATACTCCATTGCAATTTGTCAGCCCAATGGTTATGCTAGGTCAGTTTACTTTCTTCAAATTCAGCATTCTCAGCTGTAACAAAATACGTACTGACTAATTAATTCTTTTGTGTTCATCGACTAATCGTTGCGTTTTTCCTTCTTGACTTTATGCCATCGCATTCATCAAGAATCAATTAAGTGGTTTATAGGTTGAAAGCTAACTGAGAAGCTGTTTTATCCAGGAAGGAAAACCATCACGGGAAGCTTTGTTGGTAGCATGAAAGAGACGGAAGAAATGCTTGAATTTTGCAAGGAAAGGAATCTGACATCCACGATTGAAGTTGTGAAGATGGATTACGTCAACACCGCCCTGGAAAGGTTGGAGAAAAATGATGTTAGGTACAGATTTGTGGTGGACGTTGCCGGCAGCAAGCTTGAGCAGTGAAAATTGCACGCAAATCTGGTCAGCCATTCCCCCAAAAGCAAAACAACCAAGTTTAACTTGCTACTATATATATATCTATATATACATCCCCTGCTCAAAATCAAATCAATCCCTTTGTTGAGACTCCCTTTCCCTTTGAATGCTTTGATGTGTGGCTTCATCATTATTTGAAAGTTAAGAATGGCCATTTGTATTTTGTTGCTAAATAAAGACGATCGATGGAATCACTTTTGCTTCCATTTGTTTAACTTTGAATTTGATGCCCGTATATGAAATTATAAATACCGCTTGATTTTGTTGTTCTCCTCATCATATTCCTAAAATTGTTCATGTTATTTATGGCTAGAATGCGCTCTTTGGTCTTTGTTCTTCTTCATGGTGATTGTGAAAGATATTCGGCGTCTGGTCTTTGTTTTACGTGGTACCCACCCATTCTTCAATCTTTCAATTGCACGGTAGGTGAAACTTCACCGCTCTGTTTTTCAAGACCCCATATTGGGTTTTCCTTTTTGCCCGTTTTGCTTTGTGACATTTGTGATTTGTGTGGTAGTCTGCGACACTTTTCGTATGTGGCCGCTACCAATACTGCTCGCTCGCTCGCTCGCTCGCTAATTTCTTCATCTGTGGCCGAAAGCGATAGAGTGGATGCCGTATGCCGTTTGCCTGTCGTGTCCAAATCGGAATGGATTTTATGCTTATCCTCGTTTCAAATCATCACTTTCACCTTTTCATTTTCTTGAGAAATAAATTTAATCGCGGGGACGTATAGTTTGTTGTTATCGCTAGCAGCCGCTTCCGGGACCCAGAATTCCCTTCTCTTTTTTTTTTTGGCAGGGCTGTTTATGCAAAGAGAAATAATAACTCATTTCCGAGGTATAAATCATAAATGCACTGCTCCTACTTGGCTCTGTTTATCATATTCTTTCTTTTGGGTTCCTCCAACGTAGCAATGACAGAGGAGGGACAGCTTCTTCTTTTGAGCCAAGCCCTTAAATCTGGGCTTCGATTTCTTCATCGCTCAATCAATTAAAACAACTGAGACACGGATGAATGATGACAGGCATTAGACCTGATGGCATTTCAAATACTACAAATTCAGGAACTCAAAAGCCACTCTATACTGACAGCTGCCTTCCTCCTAATTGCCTTCGGATTGTCGCGCTAGTTTAATAATAATAATCAAAGGACACGTTCAGACACGCCTTCCTGCTGGGGGCTGCAGCATTGGCCGTAGAAAATCAAATGCCCAGTTGATGTTTTGGACTGGAAAGAGAGTCAAATTACCAAGAAAATCTAAAATGAGAAATGTTGCCTTCAGATTTGGTAAGTGGGTCCATTGCATTTGCAGCTGCTCATCTAGAACGTCTTCTTACCGCTGAGCTTCCACCAACTGAGTCCAAATGACGAATTCCCAGCACCCGTGTACACCCGCTCCCGAGGTCTAACCCAAAGCCAATCATTTTATTTTGGTCCATTGTCAAATGTTTCTTCACATTAATATACTTTTGATCCCATTATTGCCAGATTATACTCCCTCCTCTGCTCCACTTTGATAGTCTTGTTTCGTCTTTCTCAAATTGTAGTTCATTTTTCAATTGAAGAATGTTGTTATTTTTTAATTTCTTTAAAATACCCTTATTCAATGTAAGTTATTGTTACTATAAATTACCTTATTTAATACTCCATCCGTCCCACTTTGATAATCCTGTGTTCCTTTTTCGTCTGTCCCAAATTGTAATCCACTTTTCAATGAAGAATGTAGTTGATTTTTAATTTCTCTAAAATACCCTTATTCAATATAAGTTATTATTACTATAAACTACCTTATTTAATATAGATTATTATAGAATATAACCTACTCCACTTGATGCATTAAATGGAATACTATTGGCGGAATACATTATTTAATATAAATTGTTATAAAATATAACCTACCTCACTTAATGCATTAAATGAAATACTATTGGCGGAGTACTAGGCCGATGAAATGGAGTATTGGCAGAAGTTGAAAGTGGAATGATAGGGTTCATGATCAATACGGCTCTTCGTGATCAGGTTCATGAAATATTAGGCGGCTAAACTTTTTTTTTTATTGAAAATGTGAAATAATATAAAATGAGAATTGATTCTTTTTTTACCATCAATTCAAGTTCTCATGAGCCGTCAATTCAATTCAAATTTTCATGAATAATTAATATAAAGTTATACTCTATTTAATGTCAGAATATTTTAAAAAAATAACAATCTAAATTTATTTTTTCAACAAGATTAACTATTTTTTTCTTAAAATATGTGAAAAAAAAACTAGCACTATCAAAATGGTCCAGAGGAAGTATCAGTTTCGTCCAAATACAAAATTTCAGGAGCATTTGCACGGCGATACAGATTATATATGTTCATGTTTCGTGCCTGAGACAAAAATGGAAATAAAAAATCTATAATGAATTCGAAGGATGGTTACTTTTGTCGAAGCGATGCAAGAGATTCCGTCCTTGACAATGAAGGAGCAAGCGGAGTGCAAGTTCTGTAACTAAAGTATACGCATTCTATATTTCCGCAGATGTTGTACAAGAACTTTTATCAAAAAAAATGCGCTACAGCATCCACTAAGGATGATATTTTAATGAACGAGCAAAATTGCGAAAATGAATATAGCTTCACTTCATCAATTTTCTCATCCAACCAATTTAGGAGCCCTTTTGATGGAAGTATAATTTTCACGCTTTAACAGAATGAGGCTTTAACAGAGAACTACAGAACCTTCCTTCGGGAAATCCCGTCTTCACTCAAAGGGGGTCGTTAATGAACTAATCAACCGTTTCATGCTTCTCAGTGTGTAGCTGGATCCTCCCATGTATCATCTTAGTGTTAGGCGTGGCTATTCCAACTGACTGAAGTACATATTCATGACATATCTCGACGGATTGAAACCAATCAGAATCACTGCCAGCAAGAGAAACAGTTCAATAATAGCAGGTATGCAACCAAAACACAAGCAGGGTAATCGTCTACTTACAGATTGGTGAGAGGACAATTACGACACCAATTGGGTATAGGAAGAAGGTTGTTCTTTCCAAGAAAGGCAGTACTGCAACAGGTAAATATGTGATAATTTTAGCATAACTTGGAGAAAGACTATAAGTGGGTGACAGACAATCATGGTAAAGTGCCATTCCCTCCACCATAATCTACAAATTACATAGCAAAAGCTAAAGGGAGAAGAATGTATATGTGATCTTTGCACTAGACACAAGTATACAGAATAATCTACTGATAAAGGCATTGACCTGTTTATCTTCCATTAGATGATAGGAAGGTCCAGGTACTAAATATAGCCAACATCAAATCTCTCATGGCCTGAGAGGAGAATTGTTGTTGGAAAATTTAACCATTGTAATTCCAATAATTAGAATTTTCATTCACATCAGATATTTAGTACTAAATGTTGACAAGTGAAATGGAACTTGCCGATCACTAATGCTTGTTGCAATAGACTAACTTCAGAACAAGTCGGAAAAATAAATAATCTGCTCCCCAGTAAACGACAATACATGTATAAATTCACTTTTTCTATATATATAAGCATTTCACAATCTTTGCCAGAACATAACAAGGAAGATCTCAAATAATAGTGGAAGATCCTTTTACATATAAGTAGTAACCATGAAATTTAGGTCAAAATGAATCCAAGATATGGTTTATACCTCCTTCCCAAACCAAGATATCCTCTTAAACAGTAAACCTAACAACTATATAAAGTTGTTTGACAAGTACGGTACCCAGAGGGGGGGGGGCAAGAAAGTTCTAAAACCATATTATAAAGCTGGTAAAGTAGAAATGCACAACTATTGTTTAGATCCGTGTCTTACCATCATAACCCAAAAAATTCAAGTAGTGATAGTAGGAAGCAGCCACCATGAAGAGCAAGTTTGATAGCAAAACAGGAATGAAACCATGAGCTATCAGCAGAGGTGACAAAAAATAGTGTATGACTGGCATGAAAACGAACATATCATTAGCATCCCAACAATATTCGAGCTCCAAATTTGAAAGCTGATAAACTTTGAAACAAAACTTACCATATAGCAGAACAAACATCGGGAAGAAAGAGTTGCAGTGTACATCAAATGCGTACAACCTTCATGAATGGAGTAGAAAACAATTTTTAGCACACACAACAAACAGAAATGCCAAATGCAGAATCAAAGAAGAGATGGAACAAAGAAAATATGATGTCTATTTGCATGTCCATTTTTTCTGGGGTTACAAGAGTCATTTTAGTCCAACCAGACACATGTTCCAAGCCACAATAGAAGCATTCTACTATATGAAGAAAACAAATAGTCTAGCAGGCAGAAACTTAAGGCACTGATTGTTTCGAGGGAATACAGGGGAAAGAAAAGGAAATGGAGGTATAAGGATATGATGTTTGGATTTTTCTTTTAATAAGGAGGAAAAGGAAAGGACAGGAGGGATAAGGTCTAGTTATTTTTTGTCAGTCTGTTTTCCATCCAAAAGTGGGCGGAAACGGAAGGAGAGGAAACCAAGATAAATGAAAATTTTAAAATTTCCTCAGAAACCTGTGTTTTTAAATTATTATGGATAAAAAACGTAACTAAAGCATGATAGTTTCTGTTCCTTTCTTTTCCTCCCCTAACCCAAACAATACTTCTAATGTTTCCTTTCTATTTCCTTTTGTATTTAATCCAAACAAAATGGCACTAGAATCTTCTCCTTCCCTTTCCTTCCTTTTCGTTCAACCCAAAAGGAGCCTAAAACACACAGCAAGAAGGGATAAAGGAAAAGTCAGAACTTGCCATTCCACTCGTTGCTCCACCACATGACTGTTTGGAACTTCTTCACGAAGATAATTGTTGGTCAAGAACCTGCAAGGAATTTTTTAAAAAATAAAATAAAATAAAAAGATGGAAAATCATATCCAATCAGCTTTCCATGACACCTTTTGTATTTTAGAATTTTCTTGTTGCTTTAAGTTTTCTTGGTGGCACTAAAATTGAAAACTTCAGGTATAATAAAATTAAAAATGACAGGCTAACATGATCTATTAACTCGTATGGCAACAACAATTTAAATCTGGGTGGCAAAGAAAATACACAGACCCCTGGTCAAACAGGTGGTATTACAAATTCTAGCTTTTGATATTTCTAGGGAGATTAGATTAGTCCGTCCACCCAAATCAAAGCAGAAAAAGGCGTTTGTGGCTGTTAAAGTTTTTGAGCCAAAACAAGGATAGTTAGGTCATATGGAATTTAGGAGATTAATGGTAGCCTCATTATTCATGGGGATGTCAAGATTTACTGTAACTGCAATAGGAACTAAAAATACACACATTAAGATTTAGGTTGACTAACACAGAAGTACTAAGATCTCCTAATCTGAACATACTGTTATACTAGAGACCAAAAAAATTGCAAAGCTTAGAGATTAGAAGACCAGGGGGCCACAGCTCAAACGAGATACTCAAACTCAGATATTTGTATCATCTAACTAGGCATCACTATAGCTGCTCATGTCTGGTAAACAGGACGTTACTATCTTGGCTGAATGATACTCCTAATTGGGAATAGCAACAAACACCAAGAAACTTGGACCACAAGAATTCTTCTTCAACTTCATACCTATTGTTACTCTCTTATTATGCTCATTCAGAATGTTCTCATGGGTATACCTCGTAGTAACTTTGAAGCACTCTGAGCTATCAAAAGAGGCCTTGCGACAGTAGCATGGTATAGAACATAAAGGGGCGCCACCCGCTAATAAAGAAACTAGTACCAAACAAGTAGATTCTATACAGATGAGTAACAGCTTTAGTCCAGTGGCAATTGTTCAGACAATCAAAGTATAGGGTCCCCTTTCCCTTCCTTCCCCATCTTCCCTTCCCGCGTCCACTTATGCAAAGGAAATGACATTAGAAGAAAAGTCAATACTCTGAGAATTGAACTTTCCTCATTCAAAATTTATGAACAGTGAGAAATACAAGACAAGTACCTTATAACATCTAACTCCATAAAGGAAATGGAATTCTAAGAAAAAGGAGTTTCATCAGCTCACCAGCAACATGTAGCCAAAATTGCACCAGTCATCAAAAGATGAAAAAGCAACACTGACATAACTACATAAACAGCATGTCCCACACTATGATCATACCTGAAATAAGTAATATAAAGGTCAGGATCAGCATCGTCTTGCAAATAAACATTTTTTAATGCCTAACAGAAAATAAGATGAGAACCACGAGCCCGCTGAATGTCATATTGTGATTCCACGTTCCCCAAGTTTGTTGACCAAAATACAGAAAAGGAATTCCCTCAACATAACATGTTATGGTGTAAAAGCAAAAAGTCTTCAACATTCAACTTAACTATTGCGCCATCATGAAAAATAGTCATGACACACACCAAATACTTACGCGGCACAATAAGCTGAGGTGGAAACTACCAAAAGAAGACTGCATATCACTACGAATGCTGGATCATCACGTGCCCATTGATTCTTTGTTTCTACAAGCAAAATTTTAGTGAAATAATTAAATAATGGGTCAACATCTACTGACTCCTAGACTTCAAACTTATGAAAAAAGAACCAGGGAAAGAAAGGATGGAAAATAAGTATTCTTACAGATTCAGGGAGGGAAACACAGAGGAATGGCAGATTAATTAACTACTTTCTTCTTACAAATTAGACGTAAAACCTAATGATAAGAATAAAATCCTCATTTACTTAATATGTTTGTCCATTAATGCCATTATTACCTCCTCAAACTTCTAATTTATGTATCTGGCTGCCAGACCTCGCTTTACCTCAACAGCATAAGAGGTAAAGTAACTCCAACTACGTGCTTAATGCCAATAGCAGACAACCTGCTGTTATTTTCTGCCCAATGTGTCCATTTGTCAATTTTCAGGCCTAGCAAACAAAAGTTTCAAGAGTTGAAGCTTTACTTGTTTGCACATCTAGAGTCACATGCATTCCAAGCTATTTTATAGAAGGATAACATCGCTACTAATATCACAATGACCCGAAAGAAAAAAAGGAGCTCACTGTACCATCACCAGATTCTTAATGTTTCTTTCATACTTCCTATTGATTTGAAGAACATATAGTGTAATAGTTATGAACCACAATATGAAAACTCAAATCAATATGAAATAAAATTCACAGATCTTGTAATTGAAAGAAAAACTAGCGTCTTTAAGTTGTAATCTTAAACAGCTACAGGTGTTCTAAATTGAAAAAACATCAAATATAAGCAAAACCAGCTTATAACTGGAATGAGAAGAACTTCAACACACAGAAACAAAGCAGCACAGAGAAAAATTCAAGGAAGCAGAGCAATCCAGAAGAGGTGACAAAAGGCAGCACACTTACGCTTGTGATATTTAGTGTGCTGATATCTGCATCGGTTGTACAGTTTCACATGCAAAGAACAGAAGGCATGTTGATTAGACACAAGAAAACACATAAAAAGCATCTTCTAGTCTAGTACTTTCTAATTAGGAAGAAGTACATATTAACAGCATCTAGGATAACTTCAATTTTGAACAATCACACCATACAACTGCACATAGCACAGCTCAGGAAAATATGTGAACTAGGAAACTGAAAAAAATACCCAATTCATTTAGGAAAAGATTAACAGAGCATAAACCTAGGTAAAGAAACCAAAAAACCTAAGTAAACACTACATGTTGTTGAGCAAGTCATCTAGAAGGATCAGAAGTCCACAATGGTCATTACGATTTCACAAAAAGAGAATCATGACACATTAGATGGTCCTAATTCAGATACTTTCAGTCACTTGATATGTTAATAACAGATCCAGTTTTCTAGGTATCAAGGTTTTTCCATTCAATCATGAGTCGTGAAAACTGTAACGAGAGCTTACACATTAAAAGAAGGTTCATCAAACAGTTAATAGTGTAGCATCTAAATCAAAATTTAAAAAAAAAAAAAGGCTTAGTGCTACATCTGAAAAAAATCAGTAGGCCAGAGAAAGAGCAATAGTAGACTCAACCCAGTAGCTCAATACTTACACCACTTTTGGGGAGGTGCATAAATGTAGCATTTGCCAGAAAGTATATTCAATGTCCATTTGTTGCCACTACAATGAATGAAGCAACAACAATTAAAACCAAAAGAAAATGAGAACAAATTGGAACAGGAGAAGATCAAAGGGTAATCCAGTTGAGTATAACAAAATCACATAGTAAGAAAGCAAAGCCTCGTCTTCAATTAAGCTCTTGAAGAGTACAAAACAACATCATCAGGAAGGAAAGAATCAGCATTTTGAATTTCAAAAAGACATTCTACCAAACTGAGAGTGGCTCATATTTTTCTAAATCTAGAGCTTATTAAAACAGCTGAAAAGATCTAATCCAACTAAAGGTTATGCCTAATAGAATCCCTAGAGGTATCAGGATTCAACCCATATGCATGAAATCAGAGAAAGGTTCATGCTTCTCTGTATCCTTCTATGGTTGGGACAGCACCCTCCCTCCCCCTATCTCTAGCCGAAAAATACTTTACTCCTCACACACCAAGAAACCCATTGGTAACTCTCAAATTCAGCAATGAATAGGATAGAGTTTACATTTCTGTTCCCACTGTACCCTCTCGACAAAATAGGAAATGCTAAATAAAACCCTTGGTGGCCTAGATAGTTGCATTCTCCAAAATAGCTGGAGCTATAGATAGTTCTCCTCTCCAACAACCCACAACCAACCTGATCACCAAATCCCTTCCACCAATCCCAATTGCACGTCTGTTCTCAATAATATAGCAACCAGCCTGAGTTGAAGCACACCCATCTAAGTCAATCACTAAGAGAACATAAAAGAATTTTTTTCCCACGTCTATTCACTTCGATCCTGATAGCTAACAACAATGCCCAGAGCTTTTCATCCCAGCTGTGCTATCAAATTTCAGACCCAAATTCAGCAACTCATCTAACCAAGAGACAGAAACAGTGTAATCGCATACAGAATTTTCTTTTTTTTTTTAAATCCAAAATGAGGCATAGACGCACTTGACAGTTGATATAGTGGAGATCAGATCTATCCAGTTCGATCAAAATACACGTAAATGTGTGTGCTAATGTGGAGAGTCTCAGAGCAACAGAAACGAAGAAAACCTTGACGATTCTACGGAGATAATGAGGGAAAGGAGAATTGGGCCGGGCATTGGAGCTCGTCCGCCCCTTTGATGTAGTTGGCAGCATCTTCCCTTTCTCCTTTTCTTTTCTTATTTCTTTCTTTCCCCTGGATTTTTCTGCGAAATTTTGGAGTTCCGCAGATACAATTTTGAATTGATTTTGAAGATTTCTTCTTAATTGCGTGTTTGTTTGAACTGGGAGTTAGATTGGAGCAGGAGTTGGATTTGGTGATATTATTCTTTCTGGGTTCGGATTTCTGGCAGCCCTTTCCTTCCTTTTCTAAATTTCTCCCTCTTTCTGGTATTCGGTGGTAAGGCTGGCTGTGGCGTCTGGTTCCGTCACGATCTTCATTGGGTTTGGGTTCAGTTCGAAAGTCAACCGGTCCACGGAGAAGGTTGGTTGTCATTTGGACGCATTGGGTTGGATTTGAAGCTGGCCCAACACGTGATTTGTTTAGTTTTATTTACGTTTTATTCAAGTACTGGTACGTATATACAAACGAAAAGCAATGAAGAAGAAACTTGATCCAAAACCTTACAGGGTGTTTGGTTCAAGTCTAGGAATGGGAATTGTAATCGGATTCATTTCTAAAAAAATGAGTATGGATTTTAATCCAAGGTATCATTGCAACTGTTTGGTAAATATTTATGAGGAACAGGTATTACATTAAGGGTCCGTTTGTTTCGGGTGAAAATGTTTTTCAGGAAAATATTTTTCTAATTTCCCGTGTTTGGTTGCACAAAAGTTACTGAAAACATTTTCGTATGTAAAATATTTTCACTCATCTTATGGAAAACAACTTCCCTTCCAAACTTATTGAAGTTGTTTTCCGAAATGCATGCATCCCGCCTGTAGTATGTTCCAAACTTACTGAAAACATCTTGTAGTATGTTTTTTTTTTTTTAGTGTAAACAGGAGGACTCGAATCCAAGACCTTTTCCTTACACTCCCTCCCCCGTACCACCCAACCCTCCCCCTAGTATATTCAAAATAAAAAAAAAACCTCATCCTGCTCATCCTATGGTAGTAATTAATTATATATAATAGGGACATTCTTTTTTAGAGAAACTTTCAGCAGTGAGAGTGCAAGATATATGTCACAATAAGCATTGCATATGATTGATATTTGACACTAAATGGCCAGCAATTTGTTTATTGCTTAAGGAGATATTTTTTATTCATATATACATTTCTCCAAGATTTTTTAAAGTTAAACAATGAGATAAATTTTCTTATTTTGCATGGGAAGAAATATGTAGTTATAATGTGTAGAAAGTAAAGATAGAGATAAAAGTGAAAATATTTCAAAAGTTAAACAAACACCAGAAAAATGAAGTAAGAAAATATTTTCAACAAGCTAACCAAACACCTGAAAATGATGAAAGGGAAATGATTTTCATGAAAAATTACTTTTACGGAAAATATTTTCTCAAGGAAAACATTTTACTTCCAATCAAACAGACCCTAAAAACAAATATTTTATCATATATTTAATTTCTTTTTTCTTTTTTCCCTTTTCTTCTTTCATCTCTTTCTCCTACAGCTACCCCATAGCAATGCGGCATTTCGTAAACAATTGACCGTTGATCAATTGCAAAAGCTATTGGAACTTCAAGATCATTACATCTTGTGTCCCTAAACACCAATAAGGAAAGAAAAAATAACCAACTAGGTTGGCTGCAGTGGAACAAAGGGACGAAATAATTTTGCATCTACTTACTCCATCACTTTATGTTTGCCATCCATGGCAACTACAACCCCAAACGAAAAATCAAAGGGACACTATTCATCAAGAAGCAAAAAAAAAATTTGCGATTCAAGAGTCAATTGGGGTAAAATTTTTGGTCAATATAGAAATGTCTCCCATGGTCTTATAATGCCTTGTAGGCAATGAGAGGTGAAAAGCAGCAAAGGAGAAGAAGAGTTGATAGATCACGAAGAGTGGAGTAGGGATAAGAGTGGCCTACTTGTGGAGGTAGAGTGATAGGTCTACCGTGGAGGATTGGAGGAGAGAGAAGAAAGCGAAAAAAGGATACAGATGGGTGGCCGCTATGAAGGATGGTATAAGAGAGAAAAGTTGGAAAAAGAAAGTTGATGGAGAGGGGTTGCCATGGAGGTTGGGCAGTGGAGGTTGTGCAAGGCTAAAATTGAATTCCGAGAGAGTGACGATTGAGAAGGAATACATGTTTTCTTTCTTTTCTATGTTTCTTTTTGAAATCTGCTGAGTCAAATTTAGAAATCTACCAAAACCCTCCAATTTGCTCAAGATTGAGAACTCCCAAATTTTAATGGTTCATTCCAAAATTTTGAATCCAAGCTACTAATATTAGAATTATTTCAATTTCTGATTCCTATCCCCTCTTAGCAAATGCCACCTTAATGTATTCGTTTGATAATCTTGTCCTTTGACACAGGAATTATTATATTCACAAGTACTTGACCACCTATTTAGCTATTCGATGTTCATTTTCCGAAAAAAAAACCTTAATTTGCCATAATACATCATGCAACTTGTCCTGATAAAAAGAGAAAAAAGTCTCAATAGCCCTCCAACTTTTAACTAGATAAAGTTTTTGCCCTTCAACAATTATGAGGAAACTTTTGGCCTCCCGATCTATCAATAGTGTAAATTGTTGATCTTTCAGTGAATTCCAACCGTTCAGTAATGGAAATGAGGGCATTCTTGTCCATGTAGAAATATTAATCGAGTAAACGGCAGTAAACTCAAACTCCTGCTAAAAAAATAAAACCATTTTCTCTAATGAAATCTATAAAGTCAAAATTCTCCTCAACTTTAACAATGCTACCCAAATGCAACAAATCCTAGAACGCCCATTTAAAGGACAAATTAAAAAATTAAGAAATTCCAAAAATTCCAAATTTTTACAGCCTAAAAGTCACTCTTTACATAGATATGTACAAAACTTATAAAACCAACAAATGGGTTTTTTGAATCTTACAAATGCAAATAAAATCAACATATTTACAATCATTAATTTTATACCATATGAAACTCTTTAGGAGTGATCCCTGGAAGGTAAAAATAGTAAGCATTGTGGCTTCAAAGCAAAAGAAGAACAATAGCTGATGGGTCCGGCGACATTCATAGTGGGTTTCCCAAATTCAATGATTCTTTGATCTTCTTTCCATTATCTTGATTGGAGTCCTTCACTTTCTCAAGAAACCCATCCTTCATCATTTCCTTTTCTAAAGAAACCCATCCTTGATAGAAGCATGATACAGAAGATGAGAAAGCAGAAAAGCAAGCACAGAGAAGAAAGTATGAATTGCATAGATCCATCGCCACCTCCTCTCTCCATTGCTGAATATTTGTCTTATTACTATCTTTCTCTCTCACTCAATTTCACATGGAGAAAAGCACACAGAGAAGGAGGTACATAAGGTTTGGTTTCAGGTCCACTGAATTGTGTGAAAATATTAAAAAGAGAATGGAAAAAATGGAATTTTTTGGGTTTTTTCTGTGCATATTCGTGAGTTAATGTCCATTTTGGTTGAGGTGTCCATTGATACTTTGGATATTTGATTAATATTCCTGAATGGACAAAAATGTCCTCATTTTCGTCACACATAAATGGCTGGAATTCATAGAAGGACCAGCAATTTACACTATTGATAGATCGGGAGCCAAAAATTTACTCCTAATTATTGAAGGACTAAAACCTTATGTAGTTAAAAATTCGAGGGTCTTTGGGACTTTTTTTCCTGATAAAAATTAGAGAAGGAGATAAATAGAGTAAGGGTGGAGACTATTTAATCCAATATATTCCATCGCTGGTAATTATGATAATGCAGCATGCAGCTCATGTTATCATCCCCCAACCTTTTCTTTTACTATGACTTTATTTTTTTTTTTAGAAAAAATTCGCGTTTGCCCCTCCCGTGAATCCGATTTTGTCACCTCTCGGCTAAAGAAAGGATAATAGAGCAATACAACATTCGCACATGAGAAATATTGCTGACTCCTAAGAAGGAAAATTCGGTCAAGGAACGATTGCAAAATCTTCATTTACAATACAGTAAAAGCAGATTGGAGTTAGGTTAAACGTTAATACATCATTTCCTTTTGGCTGTGGGCAACACTACATCAGGGTGATTCTACCTTTTTTTTATTATTATTTTTTAATACAGTGGCTTTGTTTGCTTTAGGCTTTTAAGTTAAACTAGTTTTTTCAGCCTCACGCAATGCGTGAGGATGCCCTGGGTCTATGTTAATCAAGATCAAATGAAGGCAAGTGGATTAATGTAAAATGGTTATGTATTTAATACATGATAGGTGTTAATAAATGTGAAGAATTTGACTTTAGATAAATTGAATATTGTTGTTACTTGTTTACTCATTTAATTTGTAATTTTCTCTTAGATAGTCCGTCTTTGACTCAAGATCTTTGCGAATTCTTGATATTATAAATAAATGATACATTCATTTAAAATGTACAAGTACATACATATATCATAAATATGGTGACGTTGATCACTTTTAAAATTATGCACACATTATTTGTATCTAATCAAGAATGAAATAAGTTTAAACAAGATCAGTTAGGTGAGAGTGCAAGACTTCACCTTGTAAAACCGCCAAATCTAGGTCTTCAATTGGAGAAAGAAACACATCTAATATGTTGCTTTTCAGATGGCTTTCTCTCAAGATTACATAGGCAATACAGCTTTGTGCGGCTCCCACAGACCGCTTCGGACACCAACCCACCGCCTACTCACTAGGGGAGCTCAAGCAACTACAACTATACGATGAAGATATAAATACACGTCTGAACTCTGAAGCACAAACACAAAAGCCACCAAAGTTGACCAAGCACACAACTGAAGCACGAATGCAAAAGTCACCGAAGTTGCCCATAATTTAGGCGGTGGATATATTTTACAAATGGGGTAACAAACTCATGTTTAAAATCCAAAAATATGTATTTATAGAATCATTTTTTCATGCTCGAAAGAAAAATTGGAACTACTGTAAAAGTTTAAAAATTATAATCCATTTCTTAAATTGCATATTTTTTTATGAAGAAAGTTTATCCTTTTGCAAAAAAAAGAAAAAAAAGGTTTACACAGCCACGGGATGCCTTCATATTTTTAGTAACAAACTCATGTTTAAAATCCGAAAATATGTATTTATAGAATCATTTTTTCATACTCGAAAGAAAAATTGAGACTACTGTAAAAGTTTAAAAACTATAATCCATTTCTTAAATTGCATTTTTTTTATGAAGAAAGTTTATCCTATTGCCAAAAAAAAGAAAAAATGTTTACATGGCCACAGGATTCCTTCACATTTTTTTAAATTTTTTTTCCAAAATAGGAGG